CATGTAAATGTGGTCATTGATGCTCTCAAAGACAAGTTTTTTCTTCCATCCAGCACATGCATTTACACACCTGCAGACTGCAACTATTTTCCCTACACAAACCACAGAAAATCCGTCACATGTAGAGCGCATGAATCGCATTGATGTGATTGACTTACGCGTTGGACGTGGCCAAAGACAGCGAGCTGAGAGACGAGCTCAATTTCCTGCTGTCCCAGAGTCTCACTTCCTGCTGCCTCATCTGCAAACACAGATGCACTTACACTTCACATTCCATTATTAACACATCGGAGAAGCAACCCCATTATAAATTAGTGATTTAGTGCACATTACACTACATTAAACATAATGCACGTTTAAGTATGTAGTAAACTTCAGAATTACCTGGTTAAAGCCAGTAGTGAGCAAGCTGTCATCTTTGACCCAAAGGACCCGAGAGTCTCTATTAGCCTGATGACCCTGGACGCACTGTAGAGACACAGAGAGACATATGAGACACTCATGAAAGCTTGACTGATTGATAAAATAGGTCACATGCTTTCAGCCAAAATCAATTGACAGCCAATTGACACTTGCTAAGCATCAAATACAAGTAAAGATTGGCTTTGGTGAATAAATCCTTTGCCAGTTGGCTGCTGACCTTATTTGCACATTTAAAAAAAAAAAAGTAAATACTTTTAAACCGCTTTCTTATATAGAGACAGAACAGAGATTGAGAGATGAATGGGTTGTGTTGAAAGCAGATGTCTGATGGCGGTCTGTCTTGAACCATGATGACTGAACGACTGACATCTAAAAATGCATCCTCTTCCTGTCCTTTAAAGTTGACTGTGTGATAGCCGGCAGATCAGGCCTGTCTGTGATGTGAATGACAGACGGCTAAATCACTCTGACATCCTAACCATGCTTCTGAAACGACGCTGCCATAATCACTAGCGGCAAAACAACAGTTGAAACGCTGGGGGAAAAAGATGCTTGTCTGTATTTGATACAGAGATTTCTAAAGGCACTGTGTATTTCTACGCAACTATGAAAATAAAAAGCTCAAAAGAATGTTTTTATAGAACATCTGAAAGAAGGTTCAGAATTCTAAAAAAAGTTTCAAAAGTAATAAAAAAAAAGAAAAGAAATAAAGTGATGCTAAATTCAGAATAAACACAGTTTTAAAGAAAAGGAAATATTTAAAAGACAGTTTCAAAGAAAAAGCTCAAAAGAACAAACGTTTGATAGTAAGTTCAGAAGAAAATGTTTTGGCTTTGCTGAGTAAATCAGGAGGAAAATTTTTTTTCACTTTGCTTGTAAAAAATGTGACAAATGAATTGCTGATTGCTAGTCAAATTCACAAAAAAAGGCAAATAATGCAATGAATTAAACATACAATTTAGAGAAGTAGAAAGACTAAAGTAGCATTTTCTTGCATAACATACTCCGATAATAATTGTTTTATTTACATCTTTGAAAATTTGTAGTGTACTGAACGATATCATTTCTGTAATTTTGATGTGTATACAATTACGATATCAATAACAATATAATTTCAATAAACATATCATTTTTGTCATAAAATGTATCCTCAATTTTGAAATGATGTAAAATAGCTGTCAAAAACTTTGATCGAATTAATTTTGGACACGTATGTATTTGCTTTTTTTGGAAAGTGACTTTTGTTCATTACCAGGTACGTATTGTATTAATTATTATTATGAGCACCATGCAAGCTGCAGTTGAGCTTTACTGGAACAAGCCTTTTATCAAGTCATGATAGATAGAAAAAAAATCCACCTTCAACTGTAAACCTCCACCTTACATGCTTACATATAAAGGTTCTTTACTGACATCAAGAACCTTTAACATCCATGGAATCTTTTCATTCCACAAAA